TGTCCAGAATAATTCTTCCCCTTCCCCCTTCTGACTTGAATTGTTATATGTTAATCACTCTGCTTAAAACTCACAGAAAAACAGAAAATACGAATTCTTGGAAAGAATAACTGTCAATTCTTCTCCTGCCCTAAAAGGATTCAAACTTCTGGGTTCTAAGGTCAATTCAAACTTCTGGGTTTTAAGTGGCAAAGGTCACTTAAAACCCAGAAATAAAATGGGGCCAGTGAGATTAACCACTGTATATTCAAGATATATGTTGCCTTATCAAACCGGGTAAAAGGATAAAATTGTAAATTATTATTGAGAGGGAAGGTTTGTTTGTGAAGTTAGTCATTAAGAAATTCGCCTATTTAATTAATTAAAATCTTTCGTAATTTTCTTCATGTTGTTCCATCACACAAACCCTGTAGAATCTCCGTAGAAAAAATCTGCGTTATTTGTAAAAAGCAATGAATTATATTGCTTGGAAAAATTTCGAAGAATAGTTTTCTATACCAATATAAAGCTCTGTTGACTTAAAATCAAATTATTGTATAAGCATAATTAATGGTTTAAAAGAGTTTAAATAGCGTTATAAGAAAAGTATATAATCCGATATTAAGAATAATTTACTTTGATAAATATATATGGATCTAATAAATTTTAGCTATAGTAGGGTTTTTGTAATATTTTAAGGTTTCCAGCATTTTTGGTCCAATATCGGTATAAGTCATTTATTAGATACTATAAAGCAAAATCATTTGATTACGAAATATTTGAGCCGAAGTTACAAATCAGCAATAAAATTTGTTAGTTTTAATAAATCTTAATTTTAAGTCATAAATCTTAAAAAAAAGTCATTAACATATTAAAATTAACCCCAAAATTCTCCAAGTAAAAATTAACTTCGGGTTTTTTTTTCCATTAAATATTAATAGATTGCTACAATTTTTTTTTCCATTAAATATTAATAGATTGCTACAATGTTGAAATATTTTTCCTAATATTCATTTCAAATATTAACACATTGAAATATTTTTTTTTCTAATACTCATTCATTTCAAATATTAGCACATTGAAATATTTTTTTCTAATACTTATTTCAAATATTAATTCACTAAAGACGTCAGGTGTGCAGTATAAAGTATATAGCCTGAATTCCCGTACATTGTTTTGTAAATAAGTGTAATTTGTAGTAATTTTTTAAGTGGTTAATATATTCCGTAATGGTTAACATCTCTGCATATGACATGAATTTCCTTTATCCGCCAACAATTGAAAAATAAAAGACGAGAATTCACGTCTCAAAATCTTCAAAGTGTTAATACTATACATTACATGCATAGTTTTTAAATAATTTATGTACAGAATTGCAAATAAAGATTGATTAATTCACATTTTAGATCCGTAATTCAGATTTTTTTCCGTCATCCGCCGCCAACAATTGAAAAACAAAAGACGAGAATTATGTCTCATGTGTTTAAAGTGTTATTACTGTATGTACACTACATATATAGTATTTGAATAATTTATATATAGAATTGCAAATAAAGATTGATTAATTCAGATTTTAAAAAAAATTACAAAACTATTTACAAACTTTTAAAAATTAATTCTATAAAAAAAAGCTGAAAACCTTTCCTTGAATTGCAAAAAAAAAATTCAGATTTTTTTTTTTTTCTCATGATGTTTAATTTGGAATGAATAGTTACGCAGATATCGAATGTTCAGGCACATAAAAAAAAAGCCTACTGCGCAAATGCCGAAACTGACCATGCTTAATCCGGATGTTCTGTGAAATATTGTATCCGCTTTCGAGCTAAACTTTTTTCAATTGAAATCAGTCGATTCCACACGCAGTATAAATAACTTTTTTTTATTGCTGGTTTAAGCAGTGAAACGTTTCAGCTGGTCAATTGGCTCATTGAATTTGACGAATGTGTGTGTACATAACCATTTTAATTGAAAGTTACTTGTTATGGCTAGGTGATCTTTAACAAACATCAAGTGAAATGAACCCTACTTCATTAAAAGTTTAAATTTGCATTCATGAAACAATAAACAGTTCATTCCTTTTCATTTTCAGATTTTCAATCCACACTCAATTACAGCTTCAGTCAAAAGTATGAATGATCCTAAAAAAAAAATAATAAATAAAAAAATAAAAAAAAAGACTTATTTTCTTAAATGTGTTTAATTTTATGAATAGAACTTAAAATCAGTTATAAATTACTCGAATTTAAAATAAAGTAATTAAAAAAAAATTTTTTTTGATATATTTATGGAGGTGATTTTGAAATTATTATTTATTTAAAATTTATGAGAGAAATTCAATTAAAAAGAATTTTTATTGATTTTATAACAGAGATTATGACATTAGAGAACAAATTATTTTCGAATAGCAAAACAGCAATTGTATGAAAGGCAATTGTATTAGGAGAAAAAAATCTAAAACAAGTAATATAAATTTTTTTTTTTTTTAAAGTCAATTCCTACTTTTTTTTCACTTTATTACAGAAAGTCCTTTATAAACAATTTTCATTCATTTTTTAAAGTTTATCTGACGCCATCTATTGGTAGATATAGGCAACTTAAATCTAAAAAAAAATAATTAATTAAATTTAATTACTGAATTAATATTTGAAAAAACTGTATTAACATCCAGTGTCATCCACTACAAGTTAAAAAAAAATGTATTTGAACATGAGTGGATGAATAAAAAGTATTTTTGAACAAGATATATATAGGGAGAGTGTGAGCTAATTGAAAAATAACTTATTTTTTTAAATTTCTAATTTTATGAATGAAAATCAATTATAAATTATTCGAAATAAAAATGAAGTAATTAAAAAAAAAAAAAATTTTTAATAATCGTTTGCAAAATATATATATATATATATAATAAATAAATAAATGAATATTTTTGCAGATGATTTTAAAATTATTATTATTCATTTATTGATTTACAATTTATGAGAGAAATTCAGTGAAAAGGAATTTTTCTACTATATTGATTTTATATAACAGAGATTATATCTTTAGAAAATAAAGTACTTTCAAATGCTAAAGCAACAATTTTATGAAGTCTACTATTAGGAGAAAAAAAACATCAAAAAATCCTAAAAGAATTACTTAATTTTTTAAATATGTTTAACTTTAAGAATAAAAATAAAAATAAATTATAAATTACTCGAATTAAAGATGAAGCAATTAAAAAAAATATTTTTAATAACCGCTTGCAAAAAAAATAAATAATTAAATAAATGCAGATGATTTAAAAATTATTATTATTTATTTGCTTACAATTTATAAGCGAAATTCAATAAAAAAGAATTTTTCTACTTAACTTTAGAGAACAAACTACTTTAGAATAGCAAAGCAACAATTTTATGAAGGCTGTGAAAAGAATGAAAAAAAAAAAAAAAAAAAAAAAAAAAAATCTAAGACAATCCTAAAAAAAATAACTTCATTTTTTTAAATGTATTTAATTTAATGAATAAAAATAAAAATAAAAATAAATTATAATTTACTCAAATTAAAAATGAAGTAATTAACAAAAAAAAAAATTTTTTTTTAATAACAATAAAATAACAACAACATTTTTAATAACAACAAAATTTACAATTTATGAGCGAAATTTAATGAAAAGAATTTTTCGACTCAGCTTTAGAAAAAAACCTGCTTTTGAATAGCAAAGCAACAATTTTACGAGGACTACTATTAGGAAAAAAAAAAATCACATTTTAATAGAATAAAAACTGAATAAAAAAACAAAAGGATAATTTTCTAACATGAGAACAGTCTTTCGATTCGAAAATCAATATGAAACCGGAAAACTTCTACTTAGGCGGCTGATGATCTTGTCTGAGATAACAGGACGATCAATCAGAGCAAGTACAATAAGAAAGAGATTTGCAAAAGAGGATGTGAATAAATAGCCAGAAAATGCTAAAACAAAACCGTACAATGAAAAGTAAGAACTTTAAAGACAACTAGATCAACTTTTCTAACACAAGAAAAGCTAAATTTAAACGGTTTTCAAGCTCAAACCAGCCAGTTAAAAAGCTTACATACATACATACTTTAATTGCTTTATTTTATTTATTTATTTATTTTATTGTACTAAGCGAAAAGAGTTTTGGTTTGTCCTTTTGTGTACTTTGAAGCGAAAAGAGGTATAGGAGAAGTACGTATATCGACCAGTACGTGTAATTTTCATCTCAGAACACCAAAGGACCAAAGTAAGATCAAAGTAAGGGACCAAAGTAATCCAGGATTGTATTGTATTCGATGGTGTAAGATATATCTTTATTTATGGTTTGGTTTATAGCTCTACGATATTTATTTTTTTGTGCACTTTAGGCTAGTTATGTAGTCATATGTAATTGAACATGGTTATAAAGTAAATGGAATTATGGATTTGCAAAACATTTCCTAATACCAACATGCACTATCAACTAAGTTAAAATTCAAATTTCTCTCTAAATTCAAAATTCTTTTTTAAATATTTGAGATTCTTCTTAATATAAAATTTTTTTGTTTATTAATCAATTTAGATTTTTTTAAGCGAACAAGCCCATATATATTTTAAGGATTTTATTTTATTTGTGTGTATAATACTTTTCTACTAAAAATTAATTTTTGTCTATAAAAATGAAAACAAAATAAAGCGATTAGGAAATAGTCGTGTAGAAAATTAAAAAAAATTACAATTGTTATAATGATTTAGGAAAAAAGGTTTATTGTTTCGACAATACTTCAATAATAATTAAAATTATCTAAAACAAGGTTTTTAATAATTTGATTTAATTATTATTTCTTATTTTATTAATTTAATTAAACATTATTTTAAATGTTAAAAATTTACCTAATTTTTTCATTTTAATTATCTATTATGGTTTTAAATAATTATTAAATTTTACCTTTTTTGAGAAAAAAAAAAAATGTCCTCCCCGGCGGGGAATCGAACCCCGGTCTCCCGCGTGACAGGGCACTATACTACCGAGGATAAAGACACCTGCCGAAACCTGGAATCGAACCAGGGACCTTTAAGATCTTCAGTCTATAACGCTCTCCCAACTGAGCTATTTCGGCACGTCTAAATGCCTGTTGTTCAAGAATAGGTCCGCACTGCTCCGGTACCTCTTGACCCCGCCCTCTTCCTAGTGACTTGACTTCCCGCTGATAAATAAATAGAGAGTTTTTGCATACCGTACGTTAGTTACCGTCGGACGTCCGTTAGCTTTTTCTCCCTAGCGCGCATGCTCAGTTTCCTATGAGCATGCGCGCTAGGGAGAAAAAGCTAACGGACGTCCTACGGTAACTAACGTACGGTATGCAAAAACTCTCTAATTTCTTTATCTAACGTTAAGCGAATGACAGAAAAATTATTAAAAAAAACTAAAAAAATCCCACATATATCTTCAGGTTCTCATCGTTCTGTTAAATGGCATTGTTATTTGATGAAGTGTATTCGAATGGAACTATAAAAATTTGAAATCTTTACCAAAACAGAATACATTCTGCATTTAAGAAAGGGTAAGCAAATATATTATTCCAAAATCAAGCTGTGTTAAAAATGTATGATTAATTAACTAGAATGATTTCATGGATCGGATTTACAGATAGAATACATTTTTAACCACGAGTTGTTTAATATGTATGTAATACATATGTAAAAAAATTAAAATGCGATAATTTTGCGCGGATTCTTCTTTACAAATGCATACATTAATTCTAAAGATAAATCCAGTTGCATAAATTTAGAATATAAGTAGAAAAAATTATTTGAAATAATGTATTGAAATATTTGCATTATTTGATTGTACATTATCTCACAAAAGTTTTCCCATATGTTTGATTCTTTTTATAATTATAGGAGAAGAAATAAACATTACTATTTCAAATTATTAGTACAATGAAAGAATTTTAAATCCTTCCAAATAACGAGTATGGTTTATTAGTGATATATCATAAATATTTCAGCATCGCTTTAGACTCCCATCTAAGCTAGTCTAATTACATGTTTACATTATTTTTCGGTCATAATTAAAAAATTATTTTCTGCTATATCTAGCATGTCACATATTGCATAGAACTGATTACTCAAAATATACAATTTTATTCATATAAGAATATCCCAATAGTTTTGTCAAGCACCTATACTTCGTTAGAAATTCGTAAATTAATTACTAATTTGCTACGACAGTTTCAACTATTTCACATTATACTGTTTCCCCCCACCCTGGCATAAGACATTATAAAATGTATCATAAAATAAGCAGTCAGGATCCGGAAAGGCAACAAAGCTATCCCATGAAATGAAGGCAACCCTTGTTAGAAAAACCAAGAACAAAGAAGTTGGCAAATCCAATATTATGAGCTATAAAACTTTTAGTAAAATTGCAAGAATGTCTGTAAATCTTAAACAGTTCGATGAATTATCCGATTTACTGGATATGGGCAAGAAAGAAATTCTTTGTAAATGAAAATAATCGAAAACTTCGAATTTTATCTGCCGAAAAGTTAAAAAAATTTTCTTTAGAATATTGGAACAATGCAGATGTAAATGCTTAAATATATTTGAATATTCCAAGATATTTTCCAAATTTTAAAACTTTTTAATAATTTTTTTATAATTTTAAATAATCTGACTACTAGGATCAAATATAACTTAAGTCCAGTTAATAATAGTCAAAAAACACAAGTTAAAAACAGTTTTAACTTCAAAATAGCAAGTGATTGTGATTTAAAAAAAAATGATATAATATTCATACTTAAATTTCTTTATACTTGAACATTCCTATCTTGATCATGCTTTGCAATTATATTTACTTAAATTAAAATTTTTAACCCCAATGTCTTAATTCGGGGTCTGATGACTGTGTGATTAGCGCTCTGGCCCTCGGTGCTTTCGGGTTCTAATCCCTGCAGTGCCAAGGATGTTTTTAGTGGTTCGGAATCTACTTTAAAACCGTAGATCCGGTCTAATATGACTGTAGAGCGTTGGGCTTAGGGTTGACAACCCCACCTCTTAAAAAGAAAACATCTCTTGTCTCGAAATCTGCTAGTAGGCAAACGGCCTTGGCCCACCATGGGGCTGTTGTGCCAAATGAAGAATATCTTAATTCAAAGCCCTAAATATTGCAGCAATTAATTTCACATCATCGGATTTTATTGTTTGCGCAGCGTTGTTCATTTTTGCTGTGAGTAATTTCTGTATTTTGTAAGATAGTAAAACACAAAAGAATTACGTGAATTGCTGAACATATTACAACAATATGATAAAAAGACAGCTTGAAATAGAAATATTATTCATTTTTAAAACGTGTAAGTGTAAAAGCGTTATTCTGCTAGCGCCATGTTCTAGCAAGTATCTGATAAATTATGTTAATAACAGTTATGATACGCGGCTTCAGTACAAAGTACATGAGAGATACAATCTTTTACAAAGTCTTGCATGGAAAATCAAAATCAGTGAAATTGAATCTACAGATTCAATTCTCCTATTCTAAGGAGAAGTTAAGGAATTATAATTGAGTATTCTACAGAATTTCCTAAGTCCTCCTAAGATGTTTGCGATACATGGCGTTAAATCGAATATCACTTGAACGATAATGAAGAATTGAGGAATATCACATCAAGATTTATTGATTTTTAGTTATATATTAACAAAAGCATTTTTCCCCTGCATCTCTTCCTTTTTCAATTCCTTCTATTAGCTCACACTCTCCCTATATATATCTTGTTCAAATTTTCAATCGTTCATAAAATACTTTTTATTCATCCGCTCAACTTCAAACACATTATTTTTGAACTTATAGTGGATGACACTTAATGTTAATACTGTTTTTTTCAAATATTAATTCAGTAATTAAATTTAATTAATTAATTAAATTTTTTTTTAGATTTAATTTGCTTAAAAAAAATGAATGAAACTTATTTATAAAGGACTTTCTGCAATAGAGTGAAAAAAAAGTAGGAATTGACTTAATTTTTTTTTTTATATATATTACTTGTTTATCTTAATTTTATTATTTGTCTAATGATTCTCGGATATATGAGGAGGAGTTAGGGAATTCTAATTGAATATTCTACAGATTTCCTTAACTCCTCCTAAGATGTTTGCAATACATGGCATTATTACTATTTGTTTAATAATTTTTGGATAATGTATGTATTGGATAGATGAATAATTAATCTTTGAAATTATTTTCATGAAATTCTATTATAATTAAATTTTATTATAGTAGAATTATGACATAATAATTTTATAAGTATAAATATCATTTTTTTAAATAATAAGTATCAAGTATAAGTATCTTTTTTTTTAAAAATAAATAGAATTAAATTATAAAATTCCGTCTATTTTTTTATACTTAGATGTTTTTAACAATCTAAATATATTTTCCTTTCCACTTACGTTTTGCTAAGTTTGATTCGTTTAGGTCGTGTAAAAGTAAAAAATCTCATTAATTTCAATGATTTGTTGACTATCAATCTGAAATTTAATTGTCATTGTAATTAAATTAAAATTATAATTAAATTTCAATTAAACACAAATAATTTAATATTATTGTAAATTGTTATTGGTAATTTTAATTGTTTATTATGGACGAGTTTTCAAAGTTAATTTAATATGGAACAAAATTTATAAGATCGAACAAAAATGCTGTATTTCTTAGAAAATTTAAACTGTTTCCGATACTTTTTATGCTAATACCTCAAAAAAAAAAAATATAAAAATAAAAATTGTTTAATAGAGAAATTTGTACTAAAATAGAGTTACAGAATCAACCTTAGAAGTAAAAGAACACTTTCGAAAAAATTTCACATAAGAATTTTTTATTTTATTTCGAATCTGTTGCTTTATCAAAAGAAAACTATAATGGATAATGTAAAGCGATATTATAGTACAATATCAAATATTTAAAAGTGAAAGTGATATTAAGTAATGGATAAAATATGTCCATGTCCATGGATTACTTCTTTTGGTAGGTTCATGTTTGAATCCTGGCGTTGACATGGATATTTGTTAGTGGTTCGGAATCCACGTTAAACTTGGAGGTTAAGGACAAGGAGGACAAGTTCCTTTTCTAATTAGCTTTGCAAAAAATGACTGTAGAGTGACAAACCAAACTCCTTTGGCAGGTGAAATCTTTACTTATCTCTTTGAATTGCACTGTCCACCTTGGTCACTTTTGAAAAGGCCCCTTTATTCTTCGCATGACAAAAGAAAACTCCCCTTCAACTACCCAAGTTTCATTCTATGTTGACCGTACCTGGAAACTCTTTCTTTCTCTATGTTACAGATAGGATTGTTGGTGTATTCAATACTTTACATTTAGCTTCTGGAAGAATTTGCGGTGACCTTTCTTTTACCTCGTGTTAGAAAAACCATCAATCACTAAGGTTTCACTCTTTGTTCATTTTCCCTGGAAATCCTTCTATGTTGAACGCTAGTGACAGGACTATTGGAGGGATTCAGTACTTATTTATCGCTTGAGGAAGCCTTTGAGGTGTGCCTTTGCTTTTGCTTCGTGTGAGGCTTCTGATAAAAAAATATATAGAAATAGGCAACTAGCATATTGATTACGGTGTACCAATGGGAATAGACCCCTTAACCTCTTCATCTAAGTGGATGAGGAGGTTAAGGGGTCTATTATTTCTGAAGGGGTTAAATTATAAGGGGTCTAAATTTTATATATGAAAATTTAAGATTATTAATTGCCTGCTTAATGTTAGTATATGGTAAAAAATAAAGTTTCTAAAAAAATTAAGAATGGTACTACAGATTAAAAAAATACAAAAAATAAATAAAAGTAAGATAAAAAATAAAAAGTTAAAAGTAAAAGTAAAAGAATTTCAATTAAAAAAATCGGTACAATTAGGGACCCGTTGTCGATGCCATAAAAATATTACATAAGATTAAAATTGTGATTGCTGAAAGGGTGGGCCTTAGCGAGGAATCTAATAACCCCCCAAAAAAAAAAAATAAATAATAATAATAAATAAATAAAACACGACCGTAAGCCGTAAGAAGTAAGCAACGAATAATTTTGGTTGATGTTTTCTGATTGATTTATGGCAATTCA